GCGGGACGATGAGCAGTCCGGGGTAGCTACGACGCAAGCACACGCCGTCTCAAAACACTTTCCCGGTGCGCAAGCCCCGACCCTTTCTGCGATTTGACGTACCTCCTGCACACCGTGTACATGCGGTTGACGGTGGAAATTCGGAAGGGCTCGTTCTTGGAGCGGGTCAAGCTGTTACTTAGCGTGCCCAGGCCCATGCGCTGGTAGTCGCGGCAGCACGCTCGCTCGACCACGTTGCTCATGGTCTGTCTGTCTGACGAGCGGATGGTAGAGGACAGCGTCAGGGAGCTCGGCTCCACCTCCTCTGAAACTGTGAATAGAAATTTAACCAAACAATCTTGGGTTGGAACCTAACAGGAATTTTCGAAACTTTCGATGGGAATCAACTGGGAGTTGACAAAAAGAAATTATCGATGAGGACGGAAGGGAGTCTTACTCTCGGCCTACCTGAAATTTCGTCTTCATCCAGCTCCGACTGGAAGCTGCTCCTGTTCTCCCAGGTGGGCGGCGAATATTTCTTCTTCATCACATACTGCCGGTTGATGGTCCGCTTGGCGCTCTTGACCAGGTTTTTGGAAAGTGTCCTGGAAAAAAAAAACATTTCGGTTTTGATACGCGGATCATGAGCGGCTTACGGTCCTCGACCACTTTTTGCTACTCGTTAGCTTACCGACCTTCAAAACATGTCTATCTTTAATTACTCGTAGCGATATGAGTTGAGGATTATCTTTCCTATAATCGTGCGATTCTTCCTCAAAGAAAGCGAGACAGAAGCACCCACTTGAGTGACTGGTTCTTGTCCTTGGCCTTGTGCTCTACCACCAGCTTGCCGCTCTGACCCATGGTGAAGGCGAACGTTCCCTGCACGTGCTGGGGGTAGCGCAGCTTGTGCATGTGCTTCCTGAAAACCTCCGCCAGGTCGGCCGCCACCTCCTCGTCGAACACGATCTTCATTAGCTGCAAACGGACAGAAAGTACGCCAAATGTGTTCTGCTAAAGCCCCGAAGTCAAAACCTTACAATACATCTGGGCTCTTAACTCATTCAGTACCAGCCAAGTCTGAAAAGACGTTTCAAAACGTTTTTGGGAGTGAATGAGTTAAGAAAATGATTCACCGGCGCAGAAATGTTGATGTTTCAACAGTACCTGGAAGGTGCAGGACCGCAGCTGTAATCCCTCCTGGACAAACTGCTCCATGGGTAAAGTGACAGAGATCCTCTTTTCCTTGGTCAAGGATGCAATGGGGAAGGAACGAGTCACCACCTGCTCGCCCACTGCGGTAAGGGAAGCAGGAACGTGACATTCACATACAGCTGGACGATATACAACACGGTAGACACGAGTCCAAAATTTGCACAGCGCACGTGCGTAGCCCAGTCACTCGCCTAGCGGGTCGGTGGGAGTGCCCTTGAAGATGAGCCGGTAGGTGGTGAGGAAGATGGCTCCCTCCGCGGGGAGCAGGGGCGGGCCTCCCATCGTTCCCATGGCCTCCTCGCGCCCGTCCGGGATGAGGTAAACACGCATGCCGTCCATCACCAGCTCCTCGCCTGCCAAAAGGGTCGGCCTCAGCAGCTTGGGCTGGGTGGAGAGAAGGGAGAGTGGAGCGCGACAAGGGGGTGGGGATTAATGACGCTGAAGGTCGAACAAAAAAAATGAGGCCAAGGGGGCTGAAAGTGGAAAGATGGATGACAGAGCAGCAACCTTGCATTTTATAACACCCCTGGCGCGATCTTGACGTTTTTTGGTTGTCAATTCCTCGTGTCAAATTTGCGAGCGAGGGTCAATATTGTTCATGGTAGCCAAGTCAAACTCATTTTTGTCACCGGCGTGATTTTAGTTCGTTTCTCTTGGAGGGCCGTTATGACGGAAACCGTTTAAAGAAGTCAAGAATCACGGTTTATTCACCTATTGTTTAAGTTACGGTAATGAGGGGTTTGCTAACAAGAAAATGCTTACAGTATCCCTCTTATTTATTACATATGAGAATTTGAAATGTTGGTCGAGATTTTAGCAAGCATCATGAAAGTTGACATCTTTGATTTCCTTTCGCGGGCCACAGAAAATGACGCGGCGGGCCAGATCTGGCCCCCGGGGCCTTGAGTTTGACACCGGTGCTTTAGATTATATATGCAGAAAAACCCCTGACTCATTGTTGACAATGTAGATGATTGATAAATTGTCTTCCATTTGGTTTTGCTCAACTCAAGACAATTTTTCATGACTGGGCTTTTTTTTTGGCAACAAATTTGGCTTACACGGAGCTCAGCCCCCTTTCCTCTCCATCACACCAACTGACGGCACCCTTCGAAACGAAGGCACGCACGTTAGCTCAAGACACGGGGGAAAAAAAAAACGGCACACCAGGGAGAGCAAATCATCACTCCGCATGCTTGGCTCAGACATACCTGGTGTGACACCGCGGGTCTGAGCGGTAGGGATTGGTGGAGAGGGAAGTAGGCGGGGCTGGCCGGCCTGGCTCTGCGTGGCCTTTCTCCGGTGGGGCGTAAAAATAGGAATTGGTTACCTTTTGGATTGGCGGCAGTCGTTTACTCTCGCGGTGGACTGCGTCTAACGTCTCGATGTGCATCTGAACGATATCTGCAATCAAACGAGGGAAACATCAGCGTGAAAAATGACACATTTTTGAACATGTCATTGAATGTGGGAGATGATACCCGGGATCATTGTGTGGAGAGCTTTCAGGTGCTCGTTGGTCACGCCGCTCTCGTTGCAGACTTTGTCCACGAAGCGGTTGATGAAACGCACCACCGAGTTGGCCACGTCAGAGCTCTCGGCATCTTCAAAGCCGCTTTCTGTGTCATAACTCTCTGCCATGCTCCCTGCAATACTACGAGACCACAAAAAAAAAAAAAAAAACATTCATTTGTAATGATCTGAAATCTATGCGATTGATCCAGAACATTTTTATATTTTGGATGATCAGAAATTATTTTTGATGGTTAGCATTTGTTATTATCATTCTTAGACTTGTTTTAGAGGAGCGTGAACATGTTCATTATTGAGCTCTGTTTAACGTAGCGGTAAAAAATACCGGTGAAAATTTAATTTCAAAACAAAACCAAAAAAAAAAAAATTTATGAAAAAAGAAAATGAACTTTTTATCTTCATTCACTTATGTTAGAAATGCGATAGTATTGACAAAAACGCGAAATCAATCCAGGCAAGACACAGCTATCGGAAAAAACACATTTTGACTCCCAAAAGTTAGTTCAAAAAATAAAATAAAAAGTCTATAATATTTGTTATCTGTGCAACTGAAGGGCAACCTGGTGCAAGATAATCTCATTTCTATCAAATGGAACCGTGTGAATATTTAACTCATATTTTAACTCTTTAAATAACTGCCGAAATTGACCAAAAACAACAATCCATAAAAACATTTGTTTCACGCAACATCAAAAGTATGCACATCAATGAAACAAAATTCTACAAAAATACAATTTTATCCATGGCGATCTTCCTGTAAATATAACCTGTTATTAAATATTATCCATCTTATTAATTGGTCACTTTCGTTATGTTCCATTTCGATAATTGCTCCTAGAGGGGTTAAAATCGGAAAAAACACATTTAATTGGTGAGAGATTTGATCCCCGTTCTTACCTGTTGGTGACGTAACTGTTGCTGACGCTCTCCACGTCCCCGAGGCCCGAGCTCCTGAGCAGGCGGTTCTTGCTGGTGTCCAGCGGCAGCAGCAGGTAACTCATCCTGTTGGCGTAATGGATGGCCTGGCTGAACACGGTGCTCTCCTCCTTCTGCACGCGCTCCGTCTGCATGTCCTTGCCGAGCGTCGGCCACAGGCGGCTCTGCTCCGACGCCAGCTCCAGGGCGCCGATTTCCCGGCCGCCGCCCGATCCCTCCTGCTGCTCCTGAGTGCAGATTCGCATGACCTTCGTTAAAACGACGGCCGACGATTGAGATCGCGAGCGGTCGATTGAACGGTTGACTCGAGTAAATCACAATGTGGTTGTGATGCTCGCCGTCCTCCGTCTCCAGGTAAAGTTCCCGAATGTGCTTCTGGACGTCGCTGTAGAACATGGCCTCCCAGAACTGCATGTTGGTCCACACCGTGTGCTCCTGGACGCAGCTGTATGCAAACTGAGTGATGCCTGCTCCTAATTTCTGTCAGACCAACAAAGACGCAACGGTGGTCAGTTAATTATCATAATAATAATAATAATAATGTGGACGGATTGATTAACTTACCCTGCAAAAGGCTGTGACCAATGGGAGAAGGGCCGCCGCGATGCCATGTTCATCCATATGCGAGCAGTCCTACAAGAGAAGGAAAAAAAAAATGATGCTTGCAAAATGCATCATGAGGAATGCTGCATATCATTACCATAAAGTGGCCTGGTGCATTTTTTTAAACTAAATCGTAGCAAGAAAGAGCAAAAGTAAATTTGGCACAAACGTTCAGTGGGAAGCGCGAGCGGTTACAGACCTGTAAGGTGCAGTTCATCATTCGGACGACGTAGTCAAACTGCTGGTCATCCAGCACCGCCCGGTTCTGCAAAACGTGCTGATTGAGCTCCTGCGTCAAACACACCCGAGCCGCCCGACCCTTCAAAGCCCGAAGTACAGCTGGCATCAGCTGAGAGAGGAAGGCACAAAAGACATTTTGTTTTAAACACAGCATAGTCATGGCTTTCCAAAATGTTTGTGACTCAACAAAGTACAGAACAGCAAAACGCTCACTTTGTGTTGTCCGACTTTGGATCTTTGTTGCAGATTTCCCCAAACTGAAAAAGTGCAATTTTGCCAACGAGTCATTCATACCTTCTTGGCCTCCAGCATTTTGTTCTCGAAGATGTATGTGATGCAGTGCCGGACAACCTCCAGCCGACGGGCGCTGTTGGCCATCACGTTGCTGTTCCGGTCCACCATGTCTCCTGCGGAAGCGGGGGCAACGCGTGAGGCTCATTTATCAGCGTGGCACTTCAAAATGGAAGCCATTAAACACACGCCGAGAGGAGGGGGGGAAGCTGCAGGCAGGAAGTGCTGATGATTAACTTGCACGTCTAAAAACTTGAAAGCAGGGCGGTGGGGAGCCTTTGAAGTCATTGACGCTCCACATTGACGCTATTCTCCGCCCCCAACTTTCAAGGGGAAATATTATGGATACAGATAACTGAGTCTCAAGAGCCCATCCAACAGGCTGATTTCAGCAACACAAGAAATTAAATGTGCAAAGCGTGCTACAAATCTTGATCCTTGGTGGAAACTGACATACGTCCAACTGAGTACTTCTTGGGTTGCCCGTTCACATTCGTGATCCATTTTTTTATTTTTTTTTTTTTTGAAACCCAGCTCACCCAATGGGGGTCCGGATGGCACCATGCTCTTGACCTCCACCTTGACCACCGGCGGCGCTGTCTTGAGCTTGGCGGTGGCGTGGTCGATGAAGAGCTGGACCGTGACCTCGTCCAACCCAGGGAAGGGGCTCTGACTTTGAGTCGCTTTCTGGCCATTTCCCGACGGTCCCTGGACTTTATGCATGGTCACTGCTGGGTAGGGGTTTTCCTGGAGGGAGAGAGAAACCGACACGAAAGTGGTTAAGCGCACATTTTATGGGGGGTGGGGGGAAAATTGGGGCATTTTATCTTGAGAAATACATTTTTAAATAGCTGCTCGGCCAACTCCTTGATGTGATTCATGACTTTGTGCGGCGAGGCCTCTTCTTGCCGTATCCTCTCCACTTCGTTGGCTACCAGCTGTGGGAACAAGAGAAAGTTGAGAATTCCTCTCCAGACATCTTTAAAAAAAAAAAAAAATTATAGAATAATTTAATGCACATCTGATATTGGATTTTTTATTGAAATTTAGTTTTTAAGCAAAATGATGAAGGGCAAATACGACAGAATACCCCAGTGTGTTTAATTTAGTCAAATGTGGTCCTTCATGTCCGCCGTAAGGATGTCTAAAACTATTTTTACAGATACATTTGTCATGTTCCGCTTCAGTCCGTGCTCCGAATGCAGAGATACAAGTCAACTTCAAAGTTTCTTATTCGAAATTGACACCCCTCGCCCCTAAAAAGTTCGATAATTGCCTACAGGTGCCACAAGATGGCGGCATGGCAAAACTTGCATCGAAATGAAACTCTTCAACCCTTTCAGGGACAGCGGTTACTACAGTGGACAGCTTTACCTTTTATCAGGTTACGGGGTGCATGAAAGGGTTAAACTTGGTTCCATAACACCAAGGTGCCACCAGAAGGGAGATGTCCAGTTTTTTCGGAGCATTGGTTGCAAAAAAAGTTCCATGCGTGTATTTATGCTGCAAATGGCATACTTTTGAGTTTTTTTTTAAATGTTCTTTTGGGAACTCAAATGGCTTGGTTTGACTATTATAAAAGTAAGATGCAGTTTCATGACAATGATAAAATGATGGCGAGCAACTCATCGAATTGGGGTAACGACACAACATGATTCAGAGATTCCCAAACTCACATCATCGAACAAATCGGTTGCTCTGTAGGGAGGCCCCCGTTCGGACACGAACCCCGCAAACGCCATGCCATCCAACACCTTCATGAGGAAGTCGTCCTCCGTCAGCGCTCGTTGGCCGAGGAAGGCCGCCTGATGGGGAACAAAATCCGCATTCTCAAGTCCGATTCGTGTGACAATGCCTGATTTTGGACGGAGGGGCCTCCGTCATACCTTGTGGAAGCGGATGACTGGTTCGGGGTGAATGCGGATGATATGTAAACACCAGCGATAACCCTGGAAAAGCTGAGCAAACAGCCACAGGAAAATCGCCCGGATCTCCTTATCCTGAGACACACAACACAGTCCCATCTTAAGTCCCAACGCTGTCGTCCCCTGGGTGGGTGTCGCTGTTTTACAATTTCCAAGGTAAAAAAACGACATAAGGTTGACAGATTTTCACCTGGATCTTGGGTGCCGAAGGGAGCGAGGACTGGGGTGGGAAGGCATGATCAGCGATTTCCAGCTCGGGATCCAAAACCTGCAAACATGAAACGCACCAGCACATCAACCCCCGTTAGATTGCGGCAGGTCACAAAACAATTTGACATGTGATCGATTCTTTTGATGTGAAATGAAACTGAAGTGACAGCGCTGTGAAAAAAGTATTCGCGGCCTTCCTGATTTGTGTGATAAATAGGCAAACATGTTTTTTTTTCCACGGCACTGTCAGTTTCAAAATAATAATAATAATAAATCAAAAAATAAAAATCCCAAAATGACAATACCTTTTTGTCTATCAATACTTGGAAGCGGGGGTTCAATAATCCCTCCGCAAAAGAAAACACATTCATATTATCAATGTTTAAGCCTGAAATCACAAATATTTTAGACCGTGATCACGCAACAATGGCGCCGGGAGATCCGGAATACGATGGGCCCATCTCTCTTCCTGGATGCACGTAAGCCCAGCTTTAGGGTTGCCTACCAACAATCTATAGCATCATGGCTCCTGCATGCATCCCGTTCACCTAGATTCTATCTTTTCCACGAAAACGTTCCCGACAAGCTAATAAATTAAAGCTGCCTATCAGAAAGACGATCGTCGCTTTTCCTGTTTTCGTAATTTTGTTTTTGTGTCGGGAGGGGATGTCAGGCCTCTTGCATGTGCGTTTGTTTATATTGTGTTGATTTTTTCAAAAAGAGAGAAAGAAAACAAAATTGCCCGGTGAGATTGGAGGGAGATGTGAAGCGCCGCTTTATTAACACGAAGGCTCACGTAAGGGGGATAAAAATGTCTGCCAAACAAATGTCATGCATTTAAAATAGGGATTTTTTTCTGAAATCAAAATGATTTCTAATTTAGGGGCAGGCAATGTGTGCGAAAGGCCGAAGATCAAGTTCATTTATCATTCCATTGATAAACTCCGTCCGGTTTGTCACATGACTATAACCACACGCCGTTATAATAGTGGGTCGGGGTTCAATCTCTTGGATACAAATGACAGCGGACTTCACTTTTATCCACAAATACTTTGTCCACACTTGGCATGTTTTCTTACTAAAACGATGTCACAGGGCAACGTTCAAATGCTAACATACTGTCTTGGACGTGGTCGGTGAAAGTGAGTCACTCGATTGACGCACGATGTTTTTCTTCATCAAGAGAAATGGGTGTTGCGTAAAATGTCACCCAATGGGAATCCCTTTAAAAAAAATAATAAAAATGAGGGGGAAGGCGAGGTGAAGTTCTCAAACGATGCCATTTGTTGTACAAGTTGATGAGTCAGATCAAGTTTCACCGTGAATTTGTGGCTTTTCATGTTGCCTAATGTTGCGTAATGACAAGGTGGGGATATCGGAAATAGCCTCATGTGGTCAAAGGACCTTTTTTTTTGTGGCTGCATCGGTCCATGACATAACCAGCACGGCAAAACGTAGTCACCAACCTTCATTGCTTCAGAAAGCACAGGCACAATGCAGAGTACCGAAGAATAGAATAGCTAACGATAGCTCATTTGTTCAAATTAGCGAAAATGCTTGAACGAAATAAGACACTTGTAAATGTCTCCTCATAAATCCCACTTTTTGTCCAAATAAAACAAATATTGACACAGAGGGGCTACAGTGAGTCCTCCATATTGTTCGACGTGTTACCATGGAGAGCGCTGTCTGAGTCTGCTGGAGGAGCGGCTCGGGCAGCAGGGAGATGTGAACGCACTCGGGGATGGTGACGGTGCCACCGTCCAGGTCAGCGATGATGACATCCAACTGCGACACACGAGAGAGAGAGGGAAAAAAAAAACAAGAATCTGTTTCAAATCAAATACAGATTTCATGTCGGTGTTCCTGTTCCAGCAAAGGAGAAAACCCACCAGTTCTTGTGTCTCCGAGCGGAAAAACGAGTTGACGCCAATGATAAAAGGAGTGGGAGTGCTGAGGACTTCCAGGAGTTTACCGGGCAGGATGGGAACGTATGTGAAGCTATGGGGAGACAAATTTGATAAAATAAGATAAGAAAACCTTTATCAGTCTCACAATGGAGAAATTCCCAATTCGTAGCAGCAAAGTTATGAAAGGAAGAAGTAGAAGAACAAAATATAGGAGCTGCTGCAAAGGCAGCCACTCTCGCGGCGCCATCTTGAAGTCAAAATAACAAAACAATACAACACAACACATGGGGCGGCGTTTCGGAATTGCGACGCGCGACGCGAGCGACGGGGACGTTCCGCGTCATGTCACGTCGGGAATCACCTGTATTTGAGGGGGAACATGATCGCCAGCAAGCCCCGGCAGGCGTCTGTTAGGCGTTGGTAACTGCTCGACAGGAACAGGATCTTGTGCTCCGTCAGAGCGGCACAGAACAGGTACAGCACGTTGACTATCCCTGAGAGCAGATGGGGGGGGGGGGGGGGGGGGGGGGGGGGGCACATGTGTCAGGAAGAATACATTCCGCAACCACGCAAGTAACTCCATTTATTTATGCTGTGTATATCAAACGCATGAAAATGCTGAAATGAAATCTCATGAATTCAGTCCAGTCGCCACCGCCGAGTGTTTGTAAACAAGAAATGCAGCACTGTCTTGTTTCAACAAAAACAACAAAATAAAAGTGAATTTAATGTCATCAACTCGTTTTCTGTACCGTGGGACAAACCAGAAGTCAACAACTGAGCACCTGAGCGGTGTGCCCTTGAGGGGGCGTGGCCTGGTGAAAAGCATCAAGAAGTTGGCTGGCTTCTGGCTGTTCATTTTGGCCTAATGGCGCTCTGACCAATTGTCTACATTTTTTTTTTTTTTTTTGCGGTAATTAAGAGTTTTGGCATGCAACACAAAGCAAAAACAATCTACCAAGCATCAGTTGGGCCGCACGTATGTCAAGGGACCGCTGTAAATAATGCAGTTCGGGCGGGAGAAACACCACCTGATCGTCACAAGCAGCTGAACCAAAGCCACCGCGAGATAAAAATCAGGAAATGTTGGTTTTGTAGTGTTGTTGCCACGTTACAATTGTCCCTACCGAGCTGCCGGAACAGCTGCGCCGCGCTGCTGCCGCTGACGGGTAGGGAGTCGTTGATGGGAGTCTGGATAACTTGCCGGTCTCCAGCGCCTAATGTGATGGTCCGCTACGGGCAAAGGTGAGGCAAGAAGAAAGAGGAGTCGTTAAAAGAGGATCTGGAAAGGGGATTTAGGGGTGGGGGGGGGAACAAACAAGGCACGTGTCATTTCTTAGAACGAGCAGCGTGGCGCGGGATTGAAAGACAAGCGTGAATCAGCACAAGCGCGACGGAGAATTCCAAAAAGCTTAGCGGGTACGCGACAAAACAAGCCGGAGGCGGACAGGGGCGGACGGCAACCTCGACAAGTTAATCCGCACCGCGGCCACCGTATCAATGGATCTTGACGGCGGAACCCCACTGATGTGGAAAGTTTTCGGCGCGGACAGTTTCCCGTTGTCGTCTTAACACCATTCGATGCGCAAGGGTGATCCGTTTGGGGCCCATGAAGTGTGACGGCGTGAAAATGCGTCATTACAAAACAGCAAAACACTCATTTGGAGCCGAATGTATTCGATAATTGGCATCCTCATTGGAGATAAACGATTTGGACTTGAGCAGCGATGCTCTTGACAGACGGCCAAGGCAAAACGTCGATTGGCCCGCGGGCTGGATAACAACAGTCGGCGCGTGTGGACAAAAATCAAAAGCGGCGCAAAACGCTTCGGTCTCACGCAAGATCAAATGAACGGAGAAAAAAGGGGGGAGTCCCTTAGCGTCGTTTTTGAACACAAATGAACCCTTTCGTGCACCCTGTAACCTGATAACAAATGACAAATAACAAATGATGTACATTTGTGGAGGAACTTGAGCAAAAATCTGGACTTTGTGGATTGGAGATACTCCCAAATAAATTTCAAACTGGTGCAACCAATTTGATGTGTTTCACCACTTTGATCATTCCAGCTTGGAAAATGAATGGTTCAAATCAATCATTACACTTCCTTTCTTTCGCCACTGATTTTGGCGACCTTCAAAATAAAGTTCAATACAAGAAGGGAAATCATGTTGGAGCAGAGTTTGTCGAAGTGCGGCAAACATGACATCGGGATGCAGAAGCGGCCATCGCCTCAACAGCAACAGGCAAGCGCTTTCGGCAACGCAATGATGTGATCGAACAACTGATCATTGGGCGCGCTCAAACGGCGCATCCATTTCACGTTTTCGACTTTTAGCAAGTTAAAGACGGAAAACCATCCCCGACTGAACTATGCATTTGGCCTGTGTTGTGATAAAGAGGCAACTTTATTCCAAAAGTAAAATGGAATACTCTCTTCATCTGATCTGGCATCGATATTAGTTGAAATGATTCAGGGGGGAAAAAAAAAAAAAATCCAGTCTTGTCGGCCGAATTGATCAAGTAAATGACAATCTGGGCACTTTACTGCACGAGCAACGAGGGATAAAACGGGATGAGCGATGATCAGCTGTTGATCACCTATTGACTGTTGCCAAGGGGTTACATGTGGACCTGATTTGCAGAGGAAAATAGATGGAGGAAAAAAAAAAAAAAAGAGGCAAGGAGGCTTCCAGGAGAATAAAGTCAAGCAGGCGTACCAAACTGTCCACTCTCTCCTCCTGGCCCGGCTACACAAACAACAAGCGCACGCGCGCACACAGAGAGATAGAGAGAGACGGGGAGGGAGAGAGAGAGAGAGAAGCACACAAAAAGTAACACAGAATGGCACACAGATTAGAACCAACCATGTGGACGGAGAATTAGCTCAAACTGGCAAGAATATGACAGTGACATTTGCAAATAGAAAAGTGACAATTCCGAAAAAAGCAACACAAAACACGCGGCGGAAGAACCACAGGAATATAAAGACGACGCAAAACAAAGGGAACCAGCAAATACGGCTTCACAGTATCTTCATGTCATGTGACCTCAAATTCCAGAGAGATTATAATCGCATGCAAGGGATCCCGAGTTTAGGACAATGATCCCGACACGTTTGTGGTTCACTATTCACAAATGCGCTTCTTTTCTTTTTTGTTGATGTTTTTTGCTGTGGAATATATCGCGGGGCGCATAAATCCAAACCAATCTCATGAAAAAGAGGATAGCGTGTCGCGCGCAAGCCTTCTCGTGCCAAAGGATGACATATTCTTACGCCGCTGCGGCAACTATTTGAGTGCGCGCTGTAAATGACCCTTTTGCGCACACTGTCTCGTCATTCTGAAAGCAGCCGATGCGATGGCTCGTCATCGCACGAATGGAACCGCAGTGTCGACAAAAAGCCAAACCGAAAAGATAACCTTTTAACACAGACGCCGTCCACGGATACCGCAACATTTTTTGGGCTGCTCGATTCCATTTGGATTAGAATACAGACAAAAAACGGAGAGTTTAAAAGATTCATTTGCTTACCGTATTTTCCGCACTATAAGGCGCACCTAAAAGCATTTGATTTTCTCAAAAGCCAACAGTGCGCCCTATAATCCGATGCGCCTTATGTATGGCGTTACAATGTCTTTGTCTTTCATTTCTTGTTTTTTAATGCCATGTGTATTGATATGTTTCATGTCCATGTTTGTTACCAACTTTGTTATAGCTGTAGTGGTTGTGAAGCCTCTATAAAAATAAAGCTGTATAGTATTGTATTGTATTGTATTCCCTTTAGCGTAGCACCATCTAGTGGATGCATAGCCACTATTGTAGCTTCGATTCTCTGCACTTTATAACGCAGTGCGCCCTATATCTGAAAACGGTTTTAAAATAGGCCATTGATTTGAAGCCTTATAAGCCAAAGCGCCTTATAGTGCAGAAAATACGGTATTCAAAAATCATTCCTTATGAGGCGGCAACAATCTGAGATTGATGACTTCAGTGGCGCACACACTCGAGGCATTGGGCGTAACATATAGCGTAACATTTCCAACAAATAAACTTTACATAATGGGTTGGCGGCCTTGTTTGGCCTTATGCAGCCATACGTTTTGTTTTTACATGTGCATTCGCTGCGTTAAGACTGATTACATGCGATTCTTCCCTTCAGACTGCCTCCGGATGGAAGCCATCTGCCATCCCCATCTGGTCACCTAGCAACTAACTTACAACCGGTCCGGCTAAGGTTAGATAGAGCGCCGGGGGCCTATTTTGTTAGCCGTGAATGTGTTAATACTCAAAGGCCATTCGTCAAAATCAGCAGAGATGACAATGATCCAACTTCCTGCCGAACCACACAAACAAAAGAAAAAACACACTGATGCACAATTTGAAATGAGTGCACATTCCTTAAAAGAAAGCGTGTGATCTCAACAGAATCAACGTCGTGGTGCCGGCTCTTTGATTGGAAAAGGGAGCTTGCTCGATCGACAACGTTACCTGGACACAGGCCAGCAGCCAGTCACAGGCCTGAGGAACCATGTCTAAACTACAAACTCGGGACTCAATTATCTGTAACACACAGGAACCAGTGCACAGTTGGCGAGCCATTAGAAGATCCAGAAAACCCGATTCTGATAGTCCATACGTCCTCAAGTCGTGGCAGTCTCATTCAAACACACTCCATACGCCCATTAGCTATCCAATTACTCTTTAAATAATCGTAAATATTTCAGTTCTCCGATACTACTGTTCGCAAACGGACATTAAATAGATGTCGTGGGCGTCCAGGTTTATGTTCCGCGACGTATTTGTCGATCTGCATTGCTCCGGAAGATGACACAGCGCCTTTCACGGAGCATCAGGAAACGGCGTCCTCTTTTATTTTTAGTCGTTTTGACTGTCGAGAAAAAAAAAGAAGAGAGTCCACGGTTACCTGGGCGCCTCCAGCGATGGGGATGACGCATGTGAGCAGATTTCCGATGACCGTCTCTAACGGAACAGTCAGGCCATCGACGTGGACGGTGTAGACCAAGGCCAGGCAGTTCTGCTCCGGGGAAGGAAAGACACGGAAGTGGGTCACAGAAATAGTAGTCTGGTCTTTTAAGGACTTCCCCTACAGGTGTAAGCCCACTTCAAAATAAATCAAATGAACACACCAAAAGTTGTAAAATTTTAATTAGAGTTCGGTAGAGGCACTCATAAAAAAAGGGTTTCACACCACATCAGAAAAACTTTAGAATCCTTCAATTTAAAGCTTTGATTAACTCATTTAGGACCAGCCAATTCTGGACCAAGTCTGAAAAGACGTTTAAAACCGTCTTTGGGAGTGAATGAGTTAAAGGCATCCTACCCTAAAAACATCAGTGTAGTCCAACCGAGACACCAGGACCAGACTCTTTGGGGCAAAGACCTGAGCTGGCTGGATGACAGTTGGGTCCTCGTCCACCTCGTCCACGTCACTGGTCCGCGCCTTCTGCAGCTAAACGCAAAAAGAATGGGCTCAAAAACAATGTCGAATTGGCTCACCCGGATGAGTCTCAAACATGATATGATTCCATTTCTGACCTGCGGGTTGTCCTGGCCCTCCCAGAACGTGAAGCAGGCGCAGTAGTGCCGCTCGGAGTTGATGTCGGTCAAGACTGCCACGAAGAAGGAAGGGGGTTGACGCTCGGGGACCAGCTGCCAACCGCTGGGTTGGCAGAACTGCGTGAAGAGGAAAAACGGGTGAAGGACAAAATAGTAAGTCATTCATCTAAAGGTCATCCAATTACAGAAAAAATGTTTTGTTTGTTACGCCTACTTGAATGACCAACAACGGAATGACTCTCAGTTGACATAATAATTCGAATTGACTTTTACATTATTTCCTGTGGGAGTCGGAAACTTCCCGAGTTTGACAACTTGGGAACGTCTCCAGTCGCTCATAAAAAAAAAAAAAGGTCCGTCGCGTAATGGCGCAGACTCTGACAAAAATCGAGCGTCCTTCCTGTTGTGGCCATTCATCAGACGAGAGGAGCGTGCGTCTCGAGATGTTCACTTGCCAGCTCCACGCCTTGTGGGAACGGGCTGTCCTCCCAATCTTTCTCAGGAAACCGCTGGAGAATGCGACCTTGACCCTCACCTTCGCCTTCCACTACAGGGGAAAGAAGAGGAAGAGATACGGTGGTCAGCCCTTGCTCAGACAATCATTTGACCAACTTGGTTTGTTTTGATTTATGGACGCAATTGTTTCCAAAGAGACGAATGTTTCACTCAAACTGTTCTAAAATGAAAACCGGAATATATTTAACATTTGTGGACTACGGTAACAATGGCGGAGAACGAGGGTCTCCTCCTCGACATGGGAACATGGATTGGCGTCCGATACTGCATAGTCCGAAACTAAGGCGGTCACAGTCAGATCGTTGGAACGGATCAACGGCATTTCCATTCATTTCAATGGGGAAAGATGATTTGAGATACAACTGATTCGTGTCGTGTGCTCTCTGAATAGATGAACCTTGTAAATCGAGGCACAGCTGCGGATCAAAGATACAAAATTTGCATTTGCAGCTCCTGGCTAACGAGGTCACGCTCGGGTCTGGCCCGCGGAAGCGGCACAATGGCACAAAACGGGCCGACTTATGTAACCGCCACAAGTCGGGCTTTCAGCTTAATTCTATCGGAAACCCGGCATGCGTCAGAATACAGCAGCCACATTCATCTGCGTGAAAGATTGTCTTCACCCCCCGTCCCGACGCAATGCGCAGACAAGCATACAACAGACGATTCAATGTTCAAATAAATTCAGATGGCCAGACACCAAAACACACGACGCAATCCTCAAGTCATCCCGTCTCCCAAGTGAACTATTAAGAAGCGAAAAACTCACACAAGAGCCGTCAACAGAAAACCACCAAATCCCAATCTGAGATTGATTTGAGGATTGATCAAAATCTTTTCACTGTCACTATCTTCGGAACTCTAGCTGCAAACAAGTTCTGGGAAGGAAACTCAACGAGTTTCCGCCAATTTAGACCCCACAAGCAGTCAGTTTCCCCCCCCCCCCCATGATATAAAACTAAAACAATAGCAGGGACCGGCGAAATGAGTGCCTCGTCGCTCATCTGAATCATTGTCTCACAATGTAAACACAGAACTGCGTCGTTTCCCTACGTTACCAAGTTTAGTGAACACCACAGACTGAAAAAAACCAACAAAAAAACTGCAGCTTACCAAGTTTAGTGAACACCACAGACTGAAAAAAAAAAACAACAAAAAAACTGCAGGGTTGTATTTTGTTTGCCTTTTGTCGGTTGGGTTTGGCAGGTCGGTCTATCAATTTAGCAAAGCGGGACACTCGTTTTTCAATGCCACACAACTGCGACCCACAGTTTGACTCACTGCTCCCAATTAAATCCCGTTGGTGGCGGTAAGATGCATTTCGAAGTTGTCGACCGTCAAGCTAAATCAACAAAAATCATTGCCGGGGTCGTCGTCGTGTTATCTTGCCAATTTATATTTAGAACACTTTGATGGAAGAGGAGCTGCGGTGGTCACAAAAGGATGTGGGGGGAAATCCAACAAACACTGCTGGTAAACGGGAGCCGCGCTGTTTCCCATTAATGGCCGAGACACGGCGGCAGCTCGCCAGCGAGCTGTCGTAGCTGAAAAAGAGTGGCTGACACACCGCAAAGGGCACTTTGCACGCAGCTTTTTTTTGCAAACCAGAATGGAGAAGATGCGGGTTGATGCCAATTTTAATCCTTTAATGCACCCTGTAACCTGATAACATGCTAAGCCGTCCACTGGAGTGACCGAAAGGGTTAATTATGCGACCTTGGATACTTTTACAGCATGCCGCGGATCTACAAAAACATTTTACGACATTACGAAAGCTAATTTGAACAAATGTGTTCTTCCAGACAAGTGTGGATGCAACCGGTAGCCTTTCACATGAACTCATTCAGTACCAGCCAATTTTAGACCAAGTCTGAAAAGACGTTTAAAAACGTCTTTGGGAGTGAATGAGTTCATCAGGACCGAAGAAGTGGCTCTCGGTTTCTATAAGGTTGGTGACCCCTGGCCTAGACGGTGCAGCACGACGCTCATAGAAAGTGGGCGTGCTTGGGAAGTGCCGTTCCTCGACTGCCGAAGACTTTTGTTTGATTTGACAAAATTTGTCATCGTTCATTTGAGCAATGAGGCAACCAAATCGAATGCGCGCCGCGTGTGCGTATCAGAAGCACGCGTGACTCCACATGCGGATGACTAATAGCAGTCAAACTATGACAGAGGGGATCAGGGCCGGTCATGTGATCGCTGAGCAATCGTAGTCAGTTGAAAGGATTGTGCGGCTCATTCTTTGGAATGTGTCCGAGTTGATTGTGTTTGAACCCGGACCGCAACTTCTGGTTTCAAAGGGCTTCAAAAACCACAGTGACGCGACAACAGGCAGTTTCCATGGCGACCCCTCTTGAGGGTTGCATGTTGAAACCGTGCAGGGATCTGAAAAAAAAACTGCGCACAATCCGAGGCGGGCAGCCTAACTGAAAGCAAATGTGGACCGCTCGGGTGCAACCCCGAGAGTTAACAACAACGCCGTCAGCTCTGGGAAGTGGAGCGACGTCCATGCGAAAGCAATTCCGACGGTCAGCGATATTCTGCCAAATTCGACATTGGAATCAAAGAGGAGTTCTGAGCAGCCTAAGAGTCATTCTCTCCTATTTCCCCCCCGTGGTCGGTCAAAGAAATTTGGTGAAATACTTTCAAGAAAAAAAATATTCGGGATGCATCAGGTCCAATACTGGACATGTGTAAAGTAAACATGCACCGATACCATGACACCGATACCTCTTCACTAGCCTGACATAGACCCCGTCGATTCGGAGCCAGGTCAGCTTTGTGGAGACTTGAAGGTCATCACATCGGACGACACTTTTAACCGACTCATTACGCTGCGCCTCGAGCGAATTTCGAGCCTTGTCACCCAACGCCATCGGAACTCTAGTCACGAGGCACGTCAAGTAAAGAGAGGTCAAGACGGTATTTTTGTCGTAAACACACATGAAGGGATGTTGGGTGACCAGAGAGAACACACTCAGGTCACCGGATTAGGATCTTTTTGCTTCTGCGTGATAAGGGCGGGCAGAACCTCAAACCCTTGACATCTTCAGATCGGTATGAAAATATGAACGAAAATCCGCGAGGCCAACATTTAAAATCCAACCAGATGGCCGCAGAAAAAAAAAATAAAAATAAATAAAATCTTCATCTGACAACGCTGTCATCCGGGAGACAATGTCGAACATGTTCTTTGTGCAAAGGCACTTCTGCACATCCTTCCTTGCAAAAATGAGCCCTCCGCCTCTCCCGGATCCACAAAAAAAAAAAGGAGCACGCCTTCCAGGAGAGGAAACAGACTAACAACGGAGGCATACAATAGTTGCAAAGGTTACATGCGTTCACACCGGTAGCTCATTCATGGGTTTGCAAAATTGGCCGTGGCCCCCGTGGTTCAGTTTTACGTCGGAATGGCTTGAGGTCAAACCCATTTTTATTAGAAAGGAGCAGCAGCACTGGAGCCCGTGTGGAACATTACGACCTTACGACTGATCTGCTCTGTGTTTCCACTACATCCTACGTTCCAGACTAAGGGGAAGAAAAAAAAAAAACAAACTACAGCTATGATTAAAAAAAGCAGAGAATGAGTCAGATAAGCGCTTAATCAAACTGAATGACGGGAATTATCGTAGCGGTATATGACACTTGATATTCATTCTGTTTTCATTTTAATCAAGCTACGGCCAGAATGTGATGGGTTTTTTTTTTCTCTCGTGGGAAATTCTGCGAAGGGCACCCATCAGCCTTGCGTCACATTACGATCATTTTTTTTTTTGCCCTGACCTCGACACGTCAAAAGATTTAGCTTGCTAAAGACAGCTCCGTTATAACTGCGGTACGATGACGTCTAACTCGAACCGACGAGCGAGGTCTGATCCGTTTACTCAAACCAGTCGCAGCCCTTACATAAGATTAAAACTCGCCCAGTAGGGGACCCGGAGCCAGATTTGATGCGGAGGCCATCTTAAGTGTGCAATCTTTAATCTTCTGCCTGGTAAGTACCGTATTTTCCATAATATAAGGCCCACGTAAAAGCATAAAATTTTCTCAAGTACGCCTTATAATTTAGATATATGGATCGATATTCTGATTTCTTGGACGTATTTTTAATGTTTCTTAAAGCGCTTTGAAGCAGCTGCAGCGGTTGTGAAGGCTCGATGTAACTAAAGCTACATTGAATTGTATTGTATTCCTTTAGCCGAGCTCCATCTAGTGGATGCACAGCGCAACCGCAGCCACTCTCGTAGCTATTATTCTAAGCGTCTGATAATACGGCGCGCCTTATATATAAAAACTGTTTTAAAATAGGCCATTCATCGAAGGTGGCCTTATACTCCGAAGCGCCTTATCGTGCGGAAAATACGTTAAATAAATCTAATGACTCACAGTATGAACTGCAGGCATGCAGCTAAATACAGTTAGACTGGATCAGCTAAATGAGTCCTTAGAAATTTTGAGAACAGCGTCTTTTGATCGAATAAGATTTGGGTATCAAAACAAATCAAACGGGGGGACGTGTCACTGTGCAAGATTTCCAAACGCGATAAAGAATGCGGGGTTACCTGACGACATTGCTCCACTTTTTCAGCAGGCAATTTGGTTTTTACTGCATGTCTCTTCGCTGACTCTCCAGTGCATCACAGCACTGGGCGGATTCAAATGAATGGGAGGGACTTTCCTTTTTTAACCTAGACCATAAGGTTGGCCAGAACATAGCCCGACAACCCCCGCCCCCTTATCCTCAAATCCAAAACCGCCCCGGACGCGCCAAATTCGTCCCTCGGGGACTCAAACGATTGCTCCCTTGAGCGTCGGATGCTTTAACCGGAGCGGGACCGACTCAGCCTTTGCCTGATGAGGAGTTGGGAGAAATTCTTCACATACCAGGGAAGCCATCAACACCAGAGGGGAGGGGGCATCCCCAAAAACACCCCTCGGGCATAATTACACCCTATGTCTGGCGTATTTTTACGCCGCTCACAACTTGGGAGTACAAAACATCTTCAGTGCTGGGGAAAAAAAAAAAAAAAAAAAAAAGATGAAATGCATTCCTTTTATAAAGCATAAATGATATGTGATCACACATTAGCGTCAAGTGAGTCGGTCCAGCTCGTCGCTTTCCGAAATTTCTCGCGCTGTTTTCAAATTCCAAATGCGCATCGTGTGACAGCGGGTTTGACACGATTTCGGAATCAAATCATGATACACATCATCATCAGAAATCTTGAGGCTTGACTGGTCAGTATGCACCGAGCACTCATCACAAACCAGCAGCCCGACTCGGGGTTAAACGTTACCATAGCAACCGACCAAACACAAAGCCATTCGAGTAGCGGACGGGTGAGCGGCCAACGCACACAAGCGCCGAGTGTACCACAGTCCCTCTTGTCTCCCCCACTATGAAAGGCAGATTGTGGGGTAGGGGGGGTTATTTCAGGAGGGCTTGAAAGGCTCCAGCCCAGCTCTGGAGACTACTGGAGGAAGTGGCTGCCCACAGGCAGGCACTGTTGGCAGCGTCAGAGGACTCCTTTTACACACAAGAGCCCGCACGATTGCAGCATCTGAGCCGGGGGGATGAAACGCTCTGGAACAGCACGAGGATAGTGGTTAGATCATAGTTAGTGGGACTTTGTGACAGTAAATTAAAAAAAAAAAAAAATGAGGTAGGCAATTATGGTAAGAGGCTAATGACAAATTTGCACGTGGCGTTGCAGTCCCGTTAACAAAAAAAACAAAAAAAGGAAATACGGTTTCTCATAGTCCATGTTTGCTTCCCCCCGTGTTGTCGATCTTAGCATGTTATTTCACGCTCATGAGCGCGACTTAAATTAGCCACAAAGTTCACCAGAACCTATCAATAATCCAACAATCGCCCAATTTTGCATCCAGATTCTACCACTTCTCAAAAAGCTCACCTAAACAAAAAATAAATAAATAAAACAAAATTAAAAAAAAAAAACAGGGACTCGAGACACAGAGTCCAAGTACATTCCATTGTGATCAAGCGCAATTTAACGCGATGGCATGTTTCAACGTGGAACATGACTTGTGAGATGTTACATAATTCAAACGGTAGCACTGAAAACACTGCCGTGCACGTTTTTTTTTTTTTGTTTTGTTTTCTTTTTGAAGGTTCACAGACTGGTTGGGCGCTGGGCCAATCAGATAATATTCATTCAGCCTTCGCAGGTTGTCTGAAAGCCATCGAATGCGTTTCTGTGTGGAAGTCGATTCACTCGAGAGTGGAACATAATGTGCAGAACCGCATGGAACGATCAGGAGCGGGCAAAATTTTGGCGCTGACGCTCATTTCAGTTCCAAAATGGACATCGAGTGGATATAAAGTCGATCTACTCGAAATAACTCGGATCGTTGCGTAAGTGTACACACCCTTTGCACCCTGTAACCTGATAACATGGTTAGCTGTCCACCGTAGTAACCGCTGTCCCCGAAGGGGTTTAAAACTGGAGGTGCGTTCAGAATGAAGCGACCGCATTCAATCTCATGTTCAATGGGAGTCGGCACACACCTCTGATTGTTTCATGAGCCTCTGATTTTTTTTTTTTCCACTTATGTTGTGATTGGGGGGTAAAATGTATTATTTGCAGTTCAGCATGCTAATTTGAATTTTAAAAGACAAACATTTTTGAATAAAAATTGCTTGTATTTCATCATCCCTCTACAAATAAAAAAAATGAACAAGAAACGTTCTTTTAAATGAACCAATTTTCGAAAAAGCAGCTCAATGAATGAAACAAATACAATGTGGGGCGATGTGGATTGTCCCATTTCAAGCAAATGTCTCCCGAGGTTTTCTCCCCATTTCCTGTTTGGGTCTCGGATCGCGGTGGCGATTGGCTGCCGACTCGGCGGCCTCCGCTGTCAAAACACAATGGTGTCTCTCCCGGGACCCTCTTTGCTATGAGAACCACACCCCGGCAAACGACGACACACTCGCCTCCGCGCAGGCGCCATCTTGGCTCAAAAAAACGAGATCCTGGGTGAAGATTTTGGCACGCTGCGAAGCGGTCACGTGAGCGGCGATGACGTCAACCACCGACGGCCCTCCTCGACTACCTGTCACTGCCCCTGCCTGCAAACATTCCTCTCGCCGGGTGACACACACAAGCACACATGCACGCAGAGGCAGGCAGGATGCATGAAATATTTAGACTCCGGAGGAAACGCGGTATTCCTGGTATTCTTATGATCGAGGACTGGTACACTTGAGGTTTGATGCTATTTAGACACACACGGGGAATGAGAAGATGTTAACCACATCAAGTACGGCAACAAGCAAAAAAAATATTCCATCGGCATTCTTGTAAATATGTCAGTAAATAGGATAATATTTTGTCATTCATCATTTGAGCCTTTTTCCAAAGTCAACTTTTCTCTGCGTCATTTTGCGATGTTTACCCCGGGCGCTTTCTTCGATATCAACCTCACAAGGAGCCTCGACTGCCCGTCTAGTCTGAAATCAATCACAGGTCATCCTGGCAGTGGGAAGCGTTTGGCTTTCCAAAGGCGCAGGCTGTTGTGATTCATTAAAACCTGAGCATGTCTGGCTCCCAGATGATTTTAAACAGCCTGTTTCACTGTTCGCCATTGCAATTCGGGCTGGCTGAGAACAGGAAGGGGAGTTTCTGCAGCGTTCGCATTGTCCACGTAATGACATCCTGCGCTGAACTAAACTTCGCGGCGAAAAAAAATGCGAGATTCTAAAAAGGTGCAGCCAGGCGAGCGGAAAACGGCGCTGTTAAGATCGACAGGCGGCTTTGGAGAACAGAGCTTGCAAATTTGCCGACTGTGAATAAATCATCGGACGCACGCACTAAAGAGTACCACGTTGCAGGCTGCATGCTTCCAGTGGAGAGGCGGGTTGAATATTTCATGATTAAACGAGCCATTATACTGTACGGATCTAGGCCAGTGCTCAGGGTGAACGGGAGGTGGTAGGGGG